GTCTTTGGTTTTGCTTCAAAGAAAATACAAGTATACATCAAATAAAAAACTGTTAATTTTAACCATTTCCTACATATACAGGGTATGAAAAGAAGCAGAGTCGCAGTCTCGCCTGTTAAGAACTTGCTGCTGAGCAGGATAAACGGTAACTACTAGTCGGTCACTTGGCTGCTAAATATATTGATTTTTGAAGCTGGCATAGCGCGTGCGGGCAGCTGACTTATTAGCTCGCTATTTGCAAACAGCAGCAGCAGAAAAAAAAATGATTAAAAATTATTGGCTGGCCGACTGTTTGGCTGTTTGGCCATTTGACGGCCGCTTTGGCAGCGTTTCCGGCGTTGCCGGCAAGCCAAAAGAACCATAAAATCGAAAATGAGCTGAGCCAAGACACAAAGGCAAAACGCGCGCATTTAATGAGCCATTTCAATGCCAAGGCGCAGAGTGTGCAGCCAGTTGAACATGTTTTCATACCCTGTTCACAAATTGCAGACGAGTATATTGGTCTTGTTCATTTATCGTTCTGGTTGTCTGTCTATAGTTGGAAACTTTGTATATATACAAGAGTATGAGATTAAGTATTTCCAATTATGGGTTTTTTCTTTATTTCCTATTAGATAGATGGATTGGTAAGCGATAGATCGATATATCGATGCACAGTAGATACATTATTAGATTGATAGATTGATAGGCAGATAGATATATAGACATATAGACAGACTGATAAATATTGATAGATATATCGATATCTACAAATATATATATCGATAGATATATAGATAGATAGATAGATATACAGCTAGATTGATAGATGAATAAATCGATTAATAGATCAATTGATAAATAGATAGATAAATAGATCGATAGATAGATAGATAGATAGATATATAGATAGATAGATCGATAGACAGATAGATAGATAGATAGATTGATAGATGAATAAATCGATTAATAGATCAATTGATAGGTAGATAGATAGATAGATAGATAGATAGATAGATAGATAGATAGATAGATGGATATACAGTTGGATTTATAGATAGAAGGATAGAGTGATTGATAGATAAATAGACAGATAGATAGGAGAAAACGAAATACCGCAATTCCATATTTTGTGCATTGGGAATAATGTGAACGGTTTTTCTTAAGAAACAATATCTTGTTTAATTTATTAAGCTTTTTTTTACTTTCGCAGAAGTAAGTAGATAATGTCAATTCAACTATCATCTTCACCCAACGTCAACTACAGAACAGAGTATTAAGCAGTCGTTCCTTATTATCTTTTGCTGTTTGTTTTCTTCCTGTGCCTTTTTATTATTTTTCCAAAAATTACGGCAGACCAAAGATTGCAATTACATGTAAATAGGCATATGCATATATTATACAATAACTCATGTATTTTTTAATACAAATCAGTTGGCGTAAGAGAGATCAAAGATTTGATTATATTCAACTAAATTAGTTTCATAATCCATTTGTAATAATTTGCTGTTTAAATATTTAACAGATTTTCTTGCTTTCGATAAGTTTGATCAAATTCTCCTCAGCTATAATATTTTCTGTTTAATGCGCTTGGCTCTTTAATATTCGAAGACTTTTTGCGATGAATTCCAAAGGTTGTTTATTTATTTAATTGGTCTTAAGGGACTATTTTAAATAATTATACGTGTTTTCCATCTAAATATTAAACAGAGTATTTAATTTGTATTAATAACTTTGCGAATGCCTTCTATAACATTTGCTATTCAAAATTCGGAGTCTTTCTGCGATCTTTTAGGATTTTTTTAATTGGTTTTCAGGGATTTATCAGAATTTTTCAAATTTATGTAAATAATACTTGCATTTGATTGCGCCAGCAGAAATCTGCAGAAAATCAAAACGAATTATAATATCGATTAAGAAAACTATCGAACTATAAGAACTATCGATAGTTTTGCTAACATATTGTCATGTTTTTCGGAATCATCATTTAAGTGCAGAATTTGAGGTCTGCACTCAAAATAGAAGCCCTTATAATTAGTTCAAGTATTTGTGGAAATTTGTTTAGAAATAAAAACGCATGAGTATGGAGAAAAAAAATATTAATGAATGTGCTTGATTTGGTTTTGCCAATGAATCAATTTCTGGAACGTTTTAAGCTAATTAGATAAATATTACTTTTTGACATGGCCAATGCGATTGTCACTTGCAACTGCAATTTAATATTTAAAACAAAGGATGGGGCCACGCACAAACTGGTCTAAACTGTCGCGTTGCAATTAAATTAATGGCAATTATTGATGTCAGCGAATGACTCGAATTACTCGAATGACTATTTAAGCGCATGTTAATTAAGGTCCGTTGCACTCGCAACTCGTAAACAACCCAACACCGATTTGTATATCAATTATGCATACGAGTCGATGACGCGATGACGTCACAAGCCGACAAAACCAATGCCAAGGCCGTCGTCGCAAACTCTTGTCAGTCACTGTGGCAGCCAGCTGAGTGAAGCAATTACGCGCAAGACGAAGATAAACACACAGACGGATGGCAAAAGCAAAAGCACAACGGAATAGACACGAAAAAAAAACCCGAAAAACGGTGAGAAAAATACAACAACAACAACAACTAAAAGGTGTCAACAGAAACAACCTTCGAACTGTGGCGAAAACCTAACGCAATCTTTGTAATCAGTGTTATAAAATTTAAAACTATTTATAATACAAAATAAAAGTGCTCATAATTAAAGCTGACAGCTATTGGCAGCTATTAAGCTAATATAAATAAGACAAAAATTAACATATCAGCTAGAACAAATACCCTGGCCAGATAATTTATTATTTTCATTTTTATTTCTTTATCTTTAAAATAGTTAATTAAGTTCAAAATGAAGCCACGTAAGCTGTCAAAATAAATTGTTTAAAGGATTTTTCCACACTGAATTCCCAAATAAGCAACTGTGCAATTCAAATGAAATATGCCAATATGTTTAAGGATCTTGCAACACTGAATTCGCTACAAGGCAGCTTGCAGATCTTTACAACACTGAAATCGCAATATGGCAACTTTGAAGATCATATTTAGCCGACTTTTCTTAAACAGATCGCTCCTTATAAAAATTACAGGGTACTAAAAACAAGTCCATGTCCACAAAACAAGCAAGAGAAAAAGAGAAAACATAAACAAAAGAATAAAACAATAAAACAATAGAAATAAGAAAACACTCGTAATAATTTGTTAAGCAACCCACGTTGCGAATTCTGAGTAATGCTTCACACAACACACACACACACACACACACACACACACACACACACAACAAACCATAAGTGAGCCTATAAAAATATATTTTAATGAATCTATATGCATATAAATATATTATAAAAGTGCTTAACTCGCCCCCAGCTGTGCAGAGTCACGCGAGAAAAACAACAACAGCAACAGCAACAATGGGGCTACCCATATAAATTAGAAATAATTTAGTATTTTGTGACGTCGCAATCGCATCGATGCTGTTGATAACAACGATAACGGCTCGTGCATGGCCTTATCAGCTGTGCCCAAGCTCTTATCAGCACGGGGCTAAGAGACAACACTTAAACGCTCGTTAAACATGACTAATTAGTGCGAGGTGACAAGGCCAGAGTTTCAGCGTGATTTCACAGTGACTTCGTGACTTTGTGAACCCAAACAGTTAATAAAATGTTATTAATTGAAATGGGAAAGCAAACAGCCTGATAAGAAAGCTGTCTAACGTGATAAGGCCAGCCCGGAATCCAACAAGAGTTTTCTACAGTTCGATTTTAAGCTCGCTTTTGGCTTCGATTTATCCGCTTCTCCAGTTGGATCTTACAAATCGAAAGTTAGCTTATGGTTAAGTGTTAAGAATGTAATTGAGCTACAAATTGGTATTAATTAAAATACAAATAAAAATGTAATTAAAGCTAAAAACTAAAAGAGACCAGGTGCGATGCCCAGAAGCAGAGGCTGTTCCGAAGAACAAGATTAATTATAACTAGTAAGAGGTTCTAGTCGCGACTAGGGTCCCGACTAGGGGATACCGTGAACCCTCTTCTTCCAACATCAAATGCATATATATATTCTATTTTAGAAGCTATTTGTCAAGTTTGGTGACTCTAGCTCTTATTATTTACCAAAATTGCCAAAAAAAAACAGGATATCGATATCGATTTTTATCGATTGCTTGGAAACGGATTAAGTTATCGATTATCGGAAACAAACTCGATCTGCGCAGGAGCATCTACATATAAAATTTCAAGTCTCTAGCTCTTATATGTTCTGAGATCCTTGAGTTGACTCGGCTATTGATACTGATCAAGAATATATATACTTCTACTACTATTACTACCTATTTTTAATGGGTTCAGGGTATAATAATAATAATTATGATTAAATTACATTCAATTATATGTGACATAATAAAAACAAGTAATAATGAAATAAATAAATAAATCAATATAAAAATAATACATCAATAATATTTAAAAAAAAAAAAAACAATAATAATAACAAAATAAGAATAAAATTAAATTCGTAATAACAATAATGATAATAATAACAATAATAATAATTTTACAAAATATTTCTAATAAGAATAATAATTGTTACCGCAATAATAACAATAATGTCGATTCCAATTGGACAGCCGTATCGTGAATTGGTAACTGTTCCTTGCAGAACTTAAAATCAATTAAATTTGATAAATAACTGTAATTGAATTACGACACCCATAAAGGAGATGCATTTGGCCTGGTGCGAAAGCTTTTTATCCATTTTAACGGCAACTTAGCGACTAGCTGCTTAATTACAAAATTAGCGCAGCTGTCACATCAATTGGAAATTGGAAATAATGAATGAGTGAATGGATGAATGGATAAATGGATGAATGAATGCTGGATGGGGGGGGGGAACACTTAGCAAAAGTGTGAAGAAGATGGCACAACAAGTCAGGCAAATAAACAAGTTCAAGGCCAAACACACACGCACACATTTACACTCACCTGCCGTTGGCTGCCAGCTGCTCAGCTGCTGCTGCTGCTGCTGGCTGCAGCGGCGACGTCACAAGCGTTGTCGCCGGCGTCGACGTCGGCGTCGGCGTCGACGTCACTATCACAGTGTCGGCCAGCACGGGCCTGTAGATGAGCGGCTTAACGTTGCGCTCGATGTCGTCCAGGAAGACAACATCGTGCACGGGTATGAGCCGATGATCGGCCACATTAAAGTGCAGATCGCGGAAGGGTATATTCAGCCGACAGCGTAGCGTGGACGAGGCGGCTGCGTCCGTATCATGTGGCGGCAACTGCAACAATAACAACAGACAATACACTCCAATTAGTTGTAATCTAATTGGAATTGTAAATGCAATTGAATAAGATGCAGCACCTTGATTTTCCCATTGGCCGCAGAGAACATTGAGCAGTGCACAATCAAAAAAATAACAATATTAACTAATAGAACAGCCGCATAGCACTCGGCTATGACAAACACACACACACAAACACACAGTACAACAACAAAAAATTTATAAAAACAACAAAACTTTCAACACGCGTGCGTACGTCGCGTCGCGGCAGCGCGCAGCGGCAAAGAAAATAGGCAAAACAGAATGAAAGACACAAAAAAAAAAAAAAAGAATATACGAAGTCTGGGCACACGGAAGAAAACACAATTAACTGTGCTTACGATTTGTGATTTTTTTTAATTAAAATGTTTGTGCCACATTCATAGCTCATTGGGCTGCGGCTGCGCCTTCACTTTGCATTTCACTTGCCCAATGCGGCAGCATTGCGACAGCCAGCAACAAAAACAACACACACAAATTCACACACAACAGCAATTTAATTTTACTGAATGACGCCTGCTGCGCAGCCCCCGTACGCTAAGCAACTGGCGCCGCTCTCCAATTGGTCCATTGGCTGGCGATCAGTTTAAATCAGCTGTCTAACTGGCTGTTTAACGCCTAGGTGGCAACGCCCAATAACGCATGCCGGGTGCTGCCAGACAGCAGGCTAGCGGCATTCACCAACACTGATGCGCAGCATTTGACAGCACTGTGTAGAAAGAAGCAGCAGAGGCAACCAAGCAAGCCATGAGAAATGTAAAGATTTTATAACATTTAAAGTACAAACACTATAAGCAATATTATAATACACCGACAATCAGGTAAGTTACCAGCTTATTGCGTCAGCATTTGTTTTTGCAGAGGCGCAGCCCAACATATTCCGCGCTGCTGTGCCCAAACGTATGCTGCTGCGTCCATTTGTATATACGCGAGTGTCTGCGTATGTGTGCGCGTGTGTGTGTGCGCTGGCGGCAAAAACAATGGCAGCATAAAGCGAGAGTGCGACAGAGAGAGAAAGAAAAACATGCTGCAACCTCTGACAGATTGACTGCAATTGCTTTGAAGGCAATGTCAAGAAAATTAATAATATTTTTCCATACTATTGCAATTGGCATTATTTAATTTATATTCTTTTCTGCGAATTTGCTCTTTTTCTCAGAATTTGTGCAGTCGCAGCAGCGTACCCGAAACATTTGCACAGTCTCGGAGACAACAAGAACGAACGATTTAACATCATTTTTTCTTGGTTTTTTTTTTCGGTAAGTAACTGAAAATCAACAAATGCAACTGTGTATGCTAAGCTTATTTTTGTGTTGCCAGATTGTGTTTGGTGTGCCAATTGTGCTGAAGCTAAGCGCCTGAGAGAGGGAGAGGAAGAGCGAGTGAGAGAGAGAGAGAGAGAGAGAGCGAGAGAGAGAGAGAAATGTCGCATACCATTTTGCTGGTGCAGCCGGGCGCACGTCCAGAGACGCGCACATATTGCGACTATGAGAGCGTCAACGAGTGCATGGAGGGCGTCTGCAAGATCTATGAGGAGCACCTGAAGCGGCGCAACCCGAACACGCCGACAATCACCTATGACATCAGTCAGCTGTTTGACTTTATCGATACACTAATTGACATTAGCTGTTTGGTCTATCAGAAGAGCACCAACACATATGCGCCCTACAACAAGGACTGGATCAAGGAGAAGATCTATGTGCTGCTGCGCCAGGCCGCGTTCAGTCCGAATGCCTAAATCAAAATCAGCCCAAACCAAATACCAACAACAACAACAACAGCAGCTGCAACAACAAAATATCGAAATAGAGAAGCGAATCCACAAATGAATCAAGTTGTTTCAAACTTATTTCTTTGTATAAAAAAAAAGAGAAAAAACGAAACGAAAAAAAAAAGCCTAATAATAATTAATTAATAATTGCAACAAACAACTCGAAACATTACGTATTTGCGGATTTTCTTTTCCAATTTCCAAACTAACATAAGGCAAATGGCAAATGCTCTACAAAATGATGATAAATGCGAACCTTAATTTTTTTGTATTGTAACGATAATATAATGTATGTATATGTATATATATACAAATGACAACAAAAGCTGTCTATGCTATTTGATTGGGCGGCACAGCTAAGCGTCTAAGACTTCGCATTGTAGAGTATTCAATGTCTGCTAAGCTCAAAACGTTTCTTTTGGAAAAACCAACATACATTTGTCTTTGCCAGCTTTTCGGATTTCTACAGTTTATTTTGTATTTTCTTTAGTATTGCAATTGTTAGTTAAACATCGGAAGCTTTTAATGCTCAGATTTTCGGATTATACACAACTAGATAATACTCGTTAATTCCCATCCCATCCAGCCCATCTTTCCCATTCCATCCTGTCTGTCTTTCCCATCAAAGTCAGTCTTTCCAATCTTTCCAGTCTGTCTTTCCCATCTTTCCAATCCGTCTTTCCCATCTCATCCAGTCCGTCTTTCCCATTCCATCCAGTCCGTCTTTCCCATTTTTCCAGTCCGTTTTTCCCATCTTTCCAGTCCGTCTTTCCCATCTCATCCAGTCCGTCTTTCCCATCTTTCTTAACTTAAATTGCGGTTAAAAAATTTGGAAAATTTATTTTCTGATGCATTTTTCAAACATTTTATTGACGCCGAAAGCCTTTTCCTATCTATATAGACATGCATATATCTTATTATACAGAAAGCAATAAAAATATATAGATATATATATATATATATATATATATATTACGACCCTAAATGCGCTCTCGAGTCTTAGCCCAATTTTGAACGCTTTGTATTTGAGCTGAACTTTGTAATTTGTTCATAAGTTAAACAAATTATTTGAATGTTACGGCAGAAAATGTACAAAATTAAGTGGAAAATGAAGTTTTTGACATTTACAAACAGAAAACTCAGCTGATTAGCCTGATTCGCCTCACCTTCAGTTTGAACCGCGAAGTGCAGGGTATCATAAAAATAACTGTTAACTGGCAGTTGACAACTTTGAACGTGTGCGTGTGCGTGCGTGTGTGTGTGTGTGTGTGCATTAAGACAAATAGAACCTTTGGTCGTTTTGGCGATAGTAGCTTCAGTAGCCCGTAACGAGAATAAATAACAATAGCTTTAAAAATACAACAAAAGCAACTGCAACGCTGAAGCTGGCTCAGCAATGGCCTTGGAAAGCGTCAGCGTCGACGTCAACGTCGACGTCGTCAGCGCCAGCGTTGCCACAGCTGCATTGAACTTGGCGTGCGTTTTTTGTTTTTGCTTTTGTTTTAATAATTGCATACATACATGTATATTACTTTTAATTAGCCCGCCAAGTTGATGTAATAAACGCAAAAGCTACGCTATTCGATTTAGTTGTGATATTTAGAACTGGTTTTAGCACCTGTTGCGACTCCATCTCGACCAACAACAACAGCGATGCCAATGTCAAGTTCATGCCGTATTTGGCCACACACAACGCACACACACACACACACGCACGCACGCACACATGAAAACTGAAATGCAAACGTTGTGGCTATCTCTTTCGTTTTAAAGATTTCTCTCAAGTTCTTAATCGCATTACATTTAATTAGATCTATACAATAATAAACGTATATGTTAATTTAGTTGCGCTCTCTAGCACTCTCTTCTTCTATCCGTTCTTTATTCTACCTCACTTATGACGCATTTGCCGTGCTGGAGCAGCCTCAGCCTCATATTCCATTTCATATTCCAATTGCAGTTTGGGTTTGCTGCGTCGCTTCGATGTTGCTGCTGCTGCCGCTGCCGCTGCTGCCGTTGTCTTTGACTTCTTCTTGGCGTCGCCGCTCAGCTTCTTCGTCGATTTGGCTGGCACTTGGGTATCCTGCGTGAAATGTTTACGTTATATTACACTGTTAATTTTCAACTGTTTAATAGCAATTTATCACTCGAGTTGGAGTCAAGATGCGCGCGCGCGCGTTCGTCGACTGGCGCTCAATGTTGTACGCTTTAGAAGTTAGCAAGTCGCCGCCGCCGCCGCAGTCGCAGTCAACGTCAACAGCGCTGCAGCGGCGACGCCGGCCGGCGACACAAGTGCTTTGAGCTTTTGAGCAGGCGAGTTGCCAGCTTGTCTTGTTTTCATTGCAAATTATGGTAATTAGGATTGTGCAATGATTTTGCATGAGAAAAGAGAAAAGGAAAATAACAAGAACAACAAAGCCGAGAGTCGAAATGACATGCAAATGTCAATATAAAGTAAGTCAAGCATCGACGTATGACAAATTGCCAATTTGCGGGCTAAAAGCAAACAGGCATATTTTTACCTCAATATCATCATTATCATCATCGGACTGGGCGAAATCGCTGTCCATTTCCACCTGTTCGCGCTGGCCCGAATCGCTGTCATAGTCAGCCTCAGCCTCATCATCATCATCATCTTCGTCTTCGTCTTCATCATCGGTATCCGCTTCCACGTACTCTTCCGTATCGTTAAGCGCGCGTCGCAGCTCGAGTGCCTCGTCCTCAGATGCATCCGCTTCCATTTCCAGCTCATGTTCGCGCTCCTCCTCATCCTCCACCTCCTGCTCATCGTCCTCGTCCACATGCTCCGCTTCCAGCGCCTTGTTAAAGGCCGTCTGTGAAAAGTTATAGATATCCTTGTACGTGCCAATTTTGAGACGCGTCAACAGCTCCTTCTCGATATGATTATCAATCTTGGCCGCAACGAGCGCCTTCTGTTCACGGCGCGCCTCGCGTCGCTCGATCTTTGTGGAGAGCGGCACGATCAGCTTCTGGCGGCGCAGCTTCAGCTTGCGCATGCGCATCAGATATTGTGTGATCTTAAGGAAGCGCTGCTTATTCTTGGCTATCATGTATTTTGGCCAAAACACAAGATTCTCATTGATCTGTTCGATGGCCTTCTCAAAGTTGCGCGACAATTTGACGCGCTCCCACAATTTGCTGGGCATATGCGCCCGCTCCGCCGTCTTCATAAACAGATAAATGATGCCCTTCTCCTCGCGCACTGTGGCATATTGCGAGTTGGCCAGCGGGCAGGTGCGCCGCGTGCACAGGCCCGTCAGATTGTACTCGTGGCGACAGAAGGTGCGCGTATCGGTTCTGCAAAACAGCGTATTCACACATGCTAACTAATATTAAATTGAATTCAATGCCACTTACTTGACTTTGTGCGAGCAGAAGGTTTTGTTGATGATGCTCCAAACGACCTGTGCGTTAATGGAGGGCAGACATTGTCATTAATGGGTAACTCAGTTCTACGCTCTCTACTTACATCGTCGTGCTGCATTTTGCGGCCGTTTTATGAATAAACGCTTCAGCTGTATATTTGTTATAAATCAAATTTATTTTCGACTAACACGTGCAACGTGCAAGCGGCTTCAAAATACAACAACAACAAAACACACGGTTCGTGTTTGACATTCGCTTGTCTACGTTCAAAGGCTGTGTGACCAGGCGACATATCGATACTATCGGGACTAGTATGCTATGCCGGCTTATGGTGATGTGGTAGCTAATACTTGTGTTTTCTATTTTTCACTGAAAACATACGACTGAGCTATTTAATATCATTAATGTGAGAGCCTGCCAAAAATCTTCTGCACACACCTAAAGTAGTGTGTGACCATAACAAAAAGAAGAACATCACAATTTTGCTGCCTAGCGCGTGCTGATTTTGTGCGCGTTGCATACCTGGCAGCACAGAAACCTATCGATAACGATAAATCTCAAACAAACTGACATTGAATAACTAGAGCTAGCCGCTGTCACTGCCCGGTTTTTGTTTTAATACATATATATGTATATATAGGCCCTAACGCATGGTTTGTCACATTTACCCAGTTGTAGTTGATAGTAGAGTAAGTCGAGCATCAAATTCATAAATTGCAACAACGAAACGCAAGTTTTCCAAACAAAAAAAAACACACACACACAACAACAACATGCAAACTCTGATATTGATGCTTGCCGCCAAAGCGGTGCCACTTTTGGCGCTCATTTTTGTGCTCACATTGCTGGCCTACAAGTGCTACATAAATGTGCGGTAAGTTGACTGAAATCATCAACTCAAGCCGCCAATAACGATGTCTGCACCAGCTCACGCTTCGACATAACGGTCAACTGCTGGTTCTGCAACAAGGACCTGCGCGTGCCGTTCGAGCAGCGCAACAGCTGGACCTGCCCGGATTGCGAGCAGTACAATGGCTTCAACAAGGACGGCGACTACAATCGGGACATCTTGTCGCAGCGCGACTGCAGCAGCCGCACGGACGCCAACAGCTCGCGGGGCAGCAGCAGCGCCGCCAGAAATGGCCACTGCGCCAATGCATACTATGCGAATGGATTGACGCCGCCGCAGGAGAACGGACTGTGCGCGCAGTGCAATGAGGCGCAGCGCTTGAAGATTGAGAAGCTGGCACAGTTTGAGCCGCGGCACGAGTCGCGCTACGACCAGGAGCTCAAGGTGTATCAGTAAGTAGCAGCTGGGCCAGCTTCTGGCATGGGGCATAGTTTGACTAACGATTTGTTTTATACCGCTTGCCCGCTGCAGGAACGAGCTGGAGCAAAGGTATAGGCTGTGCGCCAGCTGTGAGCGGCACGTGAACAAGGTGCTGCATGAGAAAAAGAAAATGGTGCTCGGCTCCAAGTTTCTCAATTTCATAATGAAGGGCGCCGCCTTGCTGAAGCAGCCGCATTTCCAGCGTCTCGCCCGCGCCCAGCAGCAACGCCGCCTGGCACGCTATCGGCGCCTGATGAAGTGGCTGACATTGATCAACATTGTGTGCCTGGTGTGCAGCCTGCCGACGGCAACGCCCGAACAGTTCAGCTGCATGCTGGGCATATTGGCCAAGCCCTTCTTCTTTGTCTATTCACATGCGCTGACCGTGCTGCATCTGCTGTTCGACTATGCCGGCGAGTTGCTCACAGAGCAGCCCTTTGCCGCCAAATTGCTGCTGTTCGCCAACATTCTGGGCAAGCTGCTGGTCTACTCGGTGGGCATGAACCAGACGCAGGCCGGCCAGGCGACATTCAGCGTCTGCTATACCAGCCTCTATCCGTATGCCATGCTGGGACTCAGTTTCATAAGCAACTTAATATACGGATTCAAACTGACACGCTACACCGTGCTGCTGCTCCTGTGGAGCATCTATGCCAAGGGCTCCTTTCTGCTCGTCGAGGCCATCGATGGCGTTACCTATATCGTGAGTACCCTCAATTATCCAAATACGCTTATTAATAAGATAGAAAAAAGAACTAATGGAAGTCAAGTATTCGTGAGATTCGTAGAATTCCCTTTTATAAGTAAGGAGAGCTCGTTGAAACTGAGAGTTTCTAGTTATATCTTAAGGGACAACTTGTTTCTTTGTTTTCCGTGTGGTCCGACGGTCCGATCTGGCCGATCTCTCACTCTCTCGATGGGCTGCAGGGTAACTGGCAGCCGGTCAGAGTCGACTCTTGTGCTTGACACGAAACTAACAACGTCCTAATCCCGTCCATTTACAGCTGCTGGGCAGTGTGGCGACAATGTTGCTGCTGAGCAGCAAGCAAACCGATAGCCTGGAGCAAATGTCCGCTGGCGAGAGCTTCCATCGGCTGTGCGCGGACGAGTGCATCCACGACGACGAGACCATCAGCATGCTGAGCCAGCAACTAAACTGTCAAAATGCCAGCAATGCCACCAACAACACCACCGCCAATCTCTCGCTGCCTGGCTCCGGCTGCAGCAGTCCGCAGCTGCGCTCGCTGGGCGGCGGGCAGGGCAGCAGCCATACGGTAGTTGGGGCGCCGCCGCCGTCGGTGCTGTCCCTGGATTCGCTGCGACTGTCCACGCAGCATACGCCCATCAATCGCATGCTGGCATCGCCGGCGCCCATGTATGCGGCCGGCAGCTTGGACCAGCAGGCCTGGCGCAGCAGCTATGCCGCCGTGCAGCACACGGATGCGTTGAATCTGGGCCAGCCAGGTGCCAATGGCTGGCAGCGTGCAGTGTATGCGACGGGCCTGGAGCAGCGGCCGCAGTCATCGTATGGCTTTGGCCTCGACCAGCGTCCGATGACGCGCTCCACCAACAATTTGCTGTTCCCGCCGCGACTGCAAATGCAGCAGCAGCAGCGGAATGGCGACATCAGCGCCTGGGTGAATGCTGCCAGCGCCAGTGCGCATCCGGACTTGCTGCAGGAGCCGAGCACGGCCAATTTGATGCACTGCAGCTACAATCGCGATCTGTCGCGCACCTCCTCGCAATCGTCCGGCTTTGAGTCGCAGCTGGGCAACAACAATCTGGCGGCACGTCCGGATGTGCCAATGCCGCAACCGTTTTGGGCACTTCCAGCTGCTCCACAAGAGCTGCAGCAGCAGCAGCTGAATCCAACGGGTGTCATGCGCGACTTTGTCTGGCCGGAGCAGCGTCAGTTGCGCGTGCCCCCGGCACCTGGCTCGCCGTACGCCGTCCAGAGTGAACTGGGACGCAGTGCAGCCGCCAAGAGCCAGAACGATTATCGTCCGGGCGACTTGCTGCGCAATTGGATGGACCGCAACGGAGTCGCCACGCAGAAGACCAATGGCTGATTCGGTTTTGAATTGATTTCAATTTAGTTTTCGTTCTAGTTCTAGTTTACGTTTATTTCGCATAGTTAAATTTTAACGGTATCTTTTCACGGGTTCAATAATAAACTTCACAAAACACACACACACGCGCACACACACACACACACGGAAACGAACTAAACAAATTGAACTAACGCGAGGCTAACGGGACTTATTATCCTACATCGACTCAGGCATTTATGACGCTATATGATATTATATATAAATTTACTATATAGGCTATTTCTAGGCATTTATCTAGAGTAAGAGATATCTTTTAAAAATATGGTAAAGTTTATCCCAAAAGGGAATTTATATATATAGTTTTATATTGAACATGTTGAGCAGCTATTATCGCGTATTTTTCAAAGATATCTTTACGAACTATGAATATATATGCCATTATGTAGAAGGCGAAAGTAGTTAGCTATTTATTGTAGTCAGGACATTGTTAAACTTTAGAGATATATATGTAACTAGATTTGAATGAATTTTTGAATGACATTAAAATTAAATATATGCATTTATATTAAATCATTTATATATAGTCTGATGAATTGTATAAATAAATTTGCTGCAACAACTTATTTATAGACTTCGCTTAATTTAAGACAAAAAACAAGAAAGACTGCCTAAAACATTTATATATACATACATACATAAATATTTAAATGTTAATAAAAGCAAATTTTATCATATAAAAATCGTATCATTTAACCCACAAACACTTCGAATGCGCTCCACTGTGCACGGCAGCGTTGCCAGCGCAGCTAACCGAACGGGTGGCAACGCCGCGCCAGGCCGGCAAAACAGCTGTGCGCGCGAGCAGAAAAAAGTATAAAGTAAAAAGTAAGGGAGAAAACGAAACAGAAGAAAAGAAAGAACTTAGCAGCTGCAGTCAAGACGAATGCAGTTACTATATATAATCGGGCGGCATATAGCAAGACGCAACGATCGATCGTGCGGATCGTGGAGGGCCAACGGACACTGAGAGCGGCGACAACAATTTGGCAACAATTTGGCAAGAAGCTGGCAAGATGAGCAGTCAGCAGCGGACGGTGATTATTTTCAAATCGGAATCGGAAAGCACGGATGTGTATGCGGAGACCTTGCTGGGACACAATTTTCAGCCGCTGTTCGTGCCGACACTGAGCTTCGGCTATAAGAACCTTGATCAGCTGCGCGACAAGCTCCGGACGCCGGATAAATATGCGGGCATCATATTTACAAGTCCGCGCTGCGTTGAGGCCGTCGCCGAGGCTTTGCAGCTGGGCGAGCTGCCCGGCGGTTGGAAGCTGTTGCATAACTATGCCGTGGGCGAGGTTACGCACAATCTGGCCATGAGCATGCTGCAGCAGCTCTTCACGCACGGCAAGCAGACGGGCAATGCCCGCAATCTGGGTGATTTCATTGTGGACACGTTCGACGGGTCGCGCAACTTGCCGCTGCTGCTGCCGTGCGGTAATCTGGCAACGGATACGCTGCTCTCGAAGCTGGTCGAGAACGGTTTCTGTGTGGATGCCTGCGAGGTGTACGAGACGAAGTGCAATCCACAGCTGGCCGAGTGCATGGAGCGTGCTCTGAAAGCTGAAAATATTGAGTTTCTTGCGTTCTTCTCACCCTCCGGCGTGAATTGTGCGAATGAGTACTTTAAGGCCCACAATATTGCGCCGGATCAATGGAAGCTGGTGGCCATTGGGCCGAGCACGCGGCGCGCTCTGGAATCCCTGGGGCTGAAGGTCTTTTGCACCGCCGAGCGGCCGACGGTGGAGCATCTGGTGAAGGTGCTGCTCAATCCGCAGGAGAGTCGGGAGCGCTTGGTGCGTGAGCGCATGGATTTAGCATAAATTTGTGGGCGCATTCAGACGTTTGGTGTGCTTTTGTTTTTTTTTTTCTTTTCTTTTTTTACTACAAGTTATATTGACTATTTCTATCTATTTCTATGTGACCTCCATGAGTACAAAATTAGTGAGCCCAGCATAAAATGTTGCGCATTGTAAGTTATTTTTGATGCCAGATACTCACCTCAATTGAAGCTAAATAAATTTGTTTCTTTTTTTTTTTCGTATCTAAATTTACATTTGGCCGACATTATTTGAATGCCAGCTGGACGCGCCAATAGAATTATCGACTGGCTGTGGCGGATAGTCGATTAAATACTAGCACCGTGATTGTGCTTTTTTTCTTCTACAGTCATCCGATACATGCTTATTTAAAACTTCGATAGGTCGAGTTAATCGGATATCGCTGTTAAAGATTGTCGACCATATCGAGTTCTAATTGACGATCTATCGCTAATTGTGGCCATCCCTAATGTAAACGATCGACAGTGCGTTTTGCTTGATTTTAATTTGCGCACATTAATAAGAGTAATAACTGCTAGCAATACGCAGCGACAATTTCAGTAGAATCTACAACAAGGCAAATCGATTTAAATACCAAATTACGTCGCATTGCAAACGCCGTCGCAGTTTGAAAGCGCAACAAGCCGTCCGTCGCATACACAAGCCAATACATACACATACACATATGCGGAGACACCCAATAGCAGCTCAGCATACCAATACACATTCACAGCTGCCGCCGGCAAAAAGCAGTTGCTCTTTTTATTCGTGATTCTTGTGCTTTGGGTGACGAAACTATCGATACTATCGATTGTGGTGCAGCTCTAGCGACAACGACAGCGAAGTAATTTTTGTGCTTTTGTGCCCGCCGCGCCACTGAAGCAGTTTTATTCTATTATTTTTTTTTTCGTTCAACTTTTGTGTGATTTTCTGCGCATTTATAGCCAATAACAAACAGCGATAGATATATTGGTGTTTGTGAGTGTATGTTGCGTTGTACATAAAAAAAAGAGAACAAAACTCCACGCAAACACTTTGTGCCGGTGTCAGCCGAAATTGCAGGTGAGTTCAGCCAAGTTAATTGGTTTTCATATCTTACGCCTTTTCAATTAAATGTACATTATGTGCAATTGTACATGTGTACCTAGTATAAAGGTTCTTATTTTTTTAATGTGTGATCATGCAGCATTGAAGGCAATAAAAATGAAGTGGGATGGCAAGAAAGCAAGCAAGAACCGAGCAAACGGAATGAGTGTGTAACGCAATGTTGAAATACCGGTGTGCGCGGCGTCAGTGTGCATACATACATATACCACTGTCTGTGTGTGTGTGTGTAAGCAAAGTGTGAGAGAGAGCGCGACTTGAGTTAAGTTGGTTTGAGTGAGTCATTAACCGGCCTGCGCGCCGCTGTGTCAACGTTTTCTGTTTTTGGCATTGCAAATTGGCAAATTTGCTGCTGACACTTTTTATTGTCTTGTATTTACTTGCTAAAACATGCAACTAACACAGTTTCGCTGTCTGACAGCGACAACAACAACAATAAGCTAGAATACGGTGGCAATCAGAGAGAGAGAGTGAGAGTGAGAGGCTTTTTGTTGCATGCGTTCGTTTGGCTCTCTTCGCCGCCGCTTTAAATAAAATTCGCCAAAAGTCGGTTAAATTTTTGAAATTGAGTGCCAAGCCTGAGTTCGCCTTAAAGTAGTTAGCGCGCGCGCCGCTGTGTGCTAGAGCGAGAGACAATGTAAAATAATGTGAGAATTAGTATTTTTTATTGCATTCTTTTTCTTTTGTTTTTTTTTTTTTTTTTTTGTGGAAGTGCCAGCTGCCATAAATCACTGTCGCTGCCCGCCGGCTACCCATTTCTGCTGTAGTTGTTGTTGTTGTTAAAGTTATGCTAGGCAAAGCGTGTGAAAATTGCAGTCAATGTCGCCTCGCAACCACCATTTTTCCCGAGTCGTCGAAAGTTTTTCCACACACACACACACACACACACACACACAAAGACGCTGCCGGCGTTGCGTCGTCTTGTATTGTGTTACCGTCTTCTTTCTTTGTGTCTGCAGGTCGCTCACTTCCGTCTTTATCATGTGTCGCCGCACACATGCACACACACATATACAAATTGTGTATATGTATGTTTGTTGGAATATGCATAAGTAAATATGTATGTACGTGTATAAGTTTGTCCAACAACAGCGTATTATCTAATTAGCATAAAGGCGCATTTTCCAGTTAGAAGTCGCCATCATCCCATTGTTGACTTTATAAGCTGTACAGTGTTGCCACCTTTCAAACGACAAACAGACCTGTTTGTTACAAAGTGCAATCTTTTTTAATTATTGATTAAAAAAAGAAAAATCCCATAAAAGAATTGTAGCCTGTATCTGCCTAAAATATAATTTGAATGGGTGCGTTTTACATAACATATATTTACTTGAACCTGATGCTATAAATTCTTGCTCAAACTAAGCTTTTTTAGCCAGACTCCGGTCAAATGTGAACCACAATAATTTAGATCTGTTTAAATGTTTGGCCATCTGGTAAATCACATTCTTGATATAACAGTTATCGAAAAAGCCCCGCATATATACTTTACATGTTGTTATACGAGTACAAGAATCAGAATTCCCTCCGCTTTAAGTTAGCCAGATTTGACGGGAAACGCAGAACTGGCAACGCTGGCTGTATGCTTCGCTGGCCTGGTTTTGCTATATATATACCCACACACACACACTCATATATATGGGAGCGGTTTTTTAGAATTTTATTGAACCGGGACATTAGTCAAACGCTTTGCTGTTCTGGTTCTTTGTGATTTGTCCAGCATCTCAACGGCCTGACATTCCCAAGCCATTTGTAACGGTTTGTCTTGTGGTAACCAGAAAGTGGCCGCATTGAGCAAAAGAGTAGAGCAAAAACCGCAAAGCCTATGGCGGCACCCAAGTTCTAATCTTTAAGAGTAGCAGCAGAAGACTCCCCGCACTGCTGCTCTTCTCTGTTGCGCTTGGCCCATTTTAGACGCTAAAGCAGCATCTCCACAAAACGAAGAATAAAGGGAGAGAGCGCGAGAGTGCAAGAGCTCGAGAGACAGCCAAATGATTTAGCAGCGGATGCTGCGACGCTGTTGTTTACACTCGCTCACTTACTGGCAACGCCAACGCGCTCTCTCTCTCTCTCTCTCTCTCTCTCTCTCTCTCTCTCTCTCTCTCTCTCTCTCTCTCTCTCTCTCTCTCTCTCTCTCTCTCTCTCTCTCTCTCTCTCTCTGCGTATGTGTGTGTGTGTGCGCTCGCGAGAGTGTGTTCATTCATTAGTTGATTTATCGGCCAAAAGTAGAACGATTCGTAATTAGCTTGTTGAACATGCCCAAAACGAAAAGGCGGCCAAAGCTGTGCCGCTCCACTATCTTTTTACCTCTCTCTATCGCTCTCATCAATTAGCACCTTATATTTTCTATGATTTATGTACATACATGTACATTGCTGCTCATCCACTAAACTGAGACAAAACCAGTTTGTGTGCCAGAGTTGCCATTTTGTGCGAAATTTGCGTAGATACCCAACGATTTTGTTGCTGTTGTTGTTTTTATTGGGCTGCAAAATAAAGCGCTGGCAAGAAGCAGCAGCGACAGCCACAGGTAAGCACCCAACGTTGACGTCTCTGCCTGCCGCTGTTGATGTGCGTTCAGAATTCAGCGCGTGAACACGTGAGCGTGAAAAATGAATTTACACATTATTCGTAAATCGAAAGTTTCTAACTAAAACACCAACATTTAGGGCGATAACTGGGTCTGGTAATGCACTTAAAAATGAATGTTAGATTACTTTCATGATAAATAGATAAATGACTTTTATTTTCACTTTTAATTTAAAGTAACGTTATTCGCTCCCGTGACTGACGATGCGTTCATCCCTAGTTGCGCCTACAGTGAGCGCCACAGTCGATCGTCGCCTTGGCTGTGGTCTTTGAGCACTGAGTGCTGCTCCTCTGCTTCTCTGCTGCGCTTGTGTGCGTGCGTGTGTGTGTGTGTATGCGTTTGTGCTTGTGTGTTTGGCATTGAATTCGCTGAATTGAATTTTTGCACAGCAAGCAACAACAATCGAAGCAGCAGAAGACGCGCTGACGTCATTGACTCTGCCGCCTGTTGAATTTATTTGTGATGTGAATATTTTTAGGCAATGAATATTAAACAGAATTTACAATTTGCATTTTGGGTGCAGACAGCGATGCGACAACAGCGACACCGGCAGCGGCAGCGTTGTCGATGTCACACGAGATTTCGAACTTGCTTTCGAACTTGAAAATTATAATGGCGCTCTTTATCTCCCCCCCCCCCCCTCTCTCTCTCTCTCTCTCTCTCTCTCTCTCTCTCTCTGTCTCTCTGTTTCGCTCTCTCAACCTCGTAACCCTCACGTGGGCTGGCCATGAAGCGCAACAGACGGCTGCGCAGTCGCTGCTGTCCGGCACTCTCACTCGTTTGTTTGCTCAAGCATCCGACTGTGTCGCGTTAGGATGGATTTTCATGCTGGGGGAGGGGCTGTGCAACAAGTGTGCAGCGGCTTGCTATTGTTGTTGATTTGGTTGTTGTTGTTGTAGTACCGTATTTTATGTAAATTAACCAAAACGAGTTGTCGTTATGCTTGACTAGTTAAGCGGGCGCAGCAGCGCGTAGAGTACACCAGCAGCAGCGCCCGTGGTGGCGGCTCCATTACGTAACAAAACAAAACTAATACGAAACGAAAAACGTTAAGAGCGGGCGCCTGCTTTCAAATTTCAATGAGCCAGCGTTGCCACCTGACAACGGCTCAACTGACACTTGTTACGCTCAGCGATCTCTCACTCTCCCTCCACTTAGTTGTACATGTGTGCGTGTGTATGTGCATGTGTATGCTTGAAGCTTCAAGTCAGCCGCGTGACTTGCTTTTTGGGCTGCTGGCCGGCCATTACAATTTCGTGGAGCATCTCTCGAGAGTCGAATGCCGCTCCAACCCCTCACCGTCCGTTGCATACAGATAAAAACGTTGTGCGCTCGCATTCGCTGCGCTGCGCTGCGCCGCGACGTCGGTTCATTTCGCATTTGACTTTCGGTACGTATAGTCAGCGGACAGCGCAGAAAATAAACTGTCGAAAAAACCAACTGTTATTGTTGTTGTGTTTCTCTTTTCTTTTTTTTTTTGTTTGCACGTGTGCAAGTGAGAGTGCAAGAGCGCGAGCGCAGCTGCAAGCGAGAGCTTTGGCGCGCGCTTTTATCGTTTAATAATTTGTGCATTATTTGCATGTAAGTAGAAATATTTGTGCACTGCTGGAACATAAGTTTGGGTGTGTGTATGTGTGTGTGTGTATGTGAGTCGAAATGGGTGAATTTTGTAGTGCAGCCAATATCGTTGATATGGCAACGCCTTAAAACTGCTTCGCTATCACCCAGAGCAGCGGCAGCGGCTGTCCAATCAGAATTGCCCTTCACCCACTTATTGAAAACAGTGTGAGAAATTAATCAACGTCAAAGCAAAAGCCGTCGGTACAACTCAGGCAGAGACGCTGCGTCGTCGTCGTTGTCGTCGTTTAGTGGGTCAAACGCCGGACGACCTCCGACGCCGCCCCAAAACGATCCACACACAACTAAGCAACTTAACTCGCCCTTTCCGCCCGTCGCCCCATTGTCTTATCCACCAGATGCCTGGCGCTGTAGCTATCTTATCTGCAATATTGGACAAAAGTCGTTAAACATTGCGTGCAACACACTCGAAACGTCGGCGTCGACGTTAACATTTACGATCTGCGATCTCTTTCTCTTTCCACAATTCACCATTAAACACTGCGTGGGAGAGCTTTTACTTTTGCTTTAAACGCTTTTGAAAGTGAACAATAAGCAGCGAAGCCGACTGCGACGCTGACTGTCAAGTCAAGCAGCGTTGACCTTACACTGAGTGCAAACGCGTGCAATGCGTAAGGAGAGAGAGAGAGAGAGAGAGTGTGTGATGAATATGATGGCGGTGCAGGGGAAGAGAGACAGAGAGGGAGTGAGTGAGTGTAATTAATTCAAGGCAGACGTTATAACAACAGCAACAACAACAACGGTTCATTCTTATTACTTCTTTTGTACTTTATTCTGAATTGCAGTTTATTGTAGATGTTGAGCGTAACGTGTGTGTCATATAGACATATGTTTATGTGTATGTAAATGTTAAACACAAGCATAACTGAATCTATATATTTATGCATGTGTGTGTGAAGTACATATGTATTTTGTTTTGTTCTTTTGTGTTCCAAGCAATTGCAACAATTTTTGCTCAAGTTTCAGTTTGCATTATAATAGGGCGCTTGCGACGATTCCAATATTTGTTTATCTTTAAATGCTTTAGGCAATAGCTGTATATATGTACACATATACAATGTGGCTCCACCTTTCGGAATGAACTACAATTAACACGCACACCTCCTCGCCCCGCCCGGCCCGCTAGGCCAATCATCATTATACCATTTGCTCAGAAATGTTCCTTTTTGTAGATTGCGTATTTCTGGAGCGGCATTTGTTTTTTTTTATTATTTTTATCAAAAACAAAACGAACCGAAAGAAGAAACAAAATTGATAAACTATTTTCAAAGTGGTTAGCTGTGTATATACGTAATGTTCTAATTTGGGTTGTGATCGCGGCCGCCTATCTTAGAGCCGCGAATATTTCTCAAGATGCGGTCGTGTGTGTGCGTTTGTGTGAGTGTGTGCATACATGTATGTGTTGTGTAGACTTTGGTTTTGGTATTGCTACGCCATACAACCTTGCACCTGCAGCTGCAGCTTCATCTGTGAGGCATTGAGTGAACTTTCAATTGATTGCAGCTGCTGCCGGATGAGTCAGCCCTAAGCTACTAACTTGTACGGCAAAACTGCCCCCCCCCTTCTCACACTCTCACTGTTCACTGTTATTGATATGCTTTGGCGCTCATATCGCACAAAATGCCGCATGCCTCTGTCTCGCTCTCACTCTCCCTATATATATATATATATATGTATATATATATATATATGTGAGTGTATGTGTGATATTATTTCCTGTGCTATCTTAAAACAGCAACAATGCTACTGCTGCTGCTGTTAACTGTCTTTCCTTGCTCTCTTTTGCTTCGCCTCGCTCTCCCTCTCTTTGGCTGTTACTCGCACGTAAGCTGGCGCTGCCGCTGCTATTGTTAAGCTTTGGCGTCTTTTGGCGTTTCAGCGCACAACGTGCTCTATTATAGAATTTGCCATTTAGTCAGAAGCAAACTTGCTAACGCGCCTGTACAAAGCACCGCACGCAGCAGCAGTATTTGCTGAGCAGAGTCTAAGTTAGCAGTTAATAGCAGCAGCAGCTTAACCCCGCCCGCACTCACTCGCGCTCACTCGCCGACTCTCCCATTCTCCCACTCTCTTTTGGGAGTCACCGAAACGCAGCAGCGCAGCAGCAGCAGCAGCAGCTGCCGCCGCCGCAATCGCAGCAACAAGCTTTTATTTAGACAGTCGCGACGGCGCGCTCGTTTTAAGCAGACGCAAAGTTTTTTGTGACGTTTCGAATTCGCTTTTTTTTCTGTGGAAATTGCAATTTGAATAAATGTCGTTTTTTTTCGTGTGCTGTGTTCAAGTGCAATTTGTATGAATTCAACAACAACAACAACAGCAACAATAACAATTACGACAACAACAGCAGCAACAAATTGCTTGGGTTGGTATATAAAAATATTTATTGAATTTAACACATGCATAGAAATGGCCCATTGTGTGTGTGTGTGTGTGTGTGGTTAACTTAACTGGTGTGTGTGTGTGTGTGTGCCTTGTCCAGTCAACGGCTTTTCTAAATTGACATACTTTCTAAAAGCGCTAGTCAAGCAGCAAAAACAACAACAACAACAACAACAACAACAACAACAAGCAAATCTGACCAAGCGCCAACAACAAGCTGTAATGGCAATGGCTAAGTGCCACAGCAAATGCCGCCGCCGCTGCTTGCAGCAGTCGGGCTTACAACGGAGACACAGAAACATAGACAGTGCCTCATAAACAAGTTGATAGACAGCCGAGCAGCAGCAGCAGCAGAGGCAGAGGCAGAGGCAGAAGCGCCCGGCGGCGCGGCAGCGGCTAGCGACTCGTTTGGCCAGCGACTAACAGTAAAAATTGCAATCATGCCTAGTTAGTTGAGCTGCAGCAGCCTCTACACACATATTGGCAAAAATCTCCATATCTGTCAGGCTATGAAAATATGATATTCAATGGCATTACAAGTGTTGTAAAACGAAAACAAAATAAAACAAATATTTACAGTATTGGTAAAAGTATTCGAAATGAAAGTAGCAGAGATCTGATTGCATCTCTTATGTTAATTCTACAGAATGAACTCGGAATCGAATGAAGAACACAAGAAAATGTTGCATAAAATAGTAAGCCACCCATTTTCCACGCTCGCAGGTGGAATTTTCCTAACATACTCTTCAGATATCATAATCATAACAGTCTATGCGCTGTCATAAGTAAATTGAATCATAAGAGAATAAACAAAAGAAACATTTTTAGAAATCCACCTATTTTTCATGCTCGCAGGTGGAATTTTCCTAACATACTCTTCAGATATCATAATCATAAGAGTCTATGCGCGCTCATAAGTAATTTGAATCATAAGAGAATAAACAAAAGGAACATTTTTAGAAATCCACCCGTTTTTCACGCTCGCAGGTGGAATTCTACAGGCAAACCATCATAACAGCCGCTGCGTGAATTCTTTAAGTGAATTGAATTCTATGAGCTGGCTGTTATTATCAATTATCAGATGCTGTTAAGTTAACTTAAATTGCACAACTACATATGTATATTCAAACGGGGGAAAATATTAGCAGAGGTCGTTTCTTTACCCCTCTGCTGTAATTACTCCGTTTGGTTAATTAGAATTGAAAGTACATGCTATAATAATGAAAATTAACTCGCCAAATGCGCACTCGAGATCTTCAGCGAAGATCATTTAACAAAGATCACATAATATTGTGAAAATGCACGATTGCATGTCGAAAGTTATGGATGATAATTCCACCCGTTTTGCTGGCATGTGAGATGCGCGTGTTGAAATGCATTTAAATCGGCTCTTTAATTTATAATATTAGCTTCAAAACGTACACAGCCAATATTTGTTTTGTGGGAATGAAAAATCTCACTCTCTCTACCGCACGCTCTTCCCTCTCTCTCTCTCTCTCTCTCTCTCTCTGTCTCTCTCTCTTTGTAGCTCAGCTGTGCTCTGGTCTCCGACTGGTCTAGCTCTTGTCTGTCAGGCCTTGTGTTGGTGTTGGGGAGGCCATTGGCCATCGTTGGCCGCATTGCTAAAATTCCGCAGCTTTCTTTTGTCTTTTTGCAGCTTTCTTCGGCGTTGCTATGTAAATTGTTTTAAGGCATCTCAGCGATCACTGTTAATGCGCTGTTAACGTGCTGTTAAATGTCATGATGCCACAACAAACTTTTTGAAGGTCATAAAGGCTTTATATTCTGGAAGCGAATGCGCTGAGGTGGATCCCAACAAATTGAACGCTTGATTGATTTTGACACCCTTTCAATTGCATTGATTCATTGTTGTTGTTGTAATTGTTGTTGTTGTTGTTGTCATTAGCATTAAATCAAAGCGCAAATGTCAAAGGCAAATACACGAAACGCAAATGTAAGCGAAACAGGTTCTCTTAAATTCATTGCGATTGTCGAAAAAGTTTACAGCTTTTTGTCTAGTCGTTGTTGTTGTTGTTACAGGTGCAACTTGTTGTTGCATACAAATGCTTATTGATACAGCACACACACACACACACATACATACGTACAGAAAGCTCGTAGGCGATGATCGGCAGCGCTGCAATTGCTGCTCTCTTCTCTCTCTCTCTCTCTCTCTCTCTCTCTCTCTCTCTTTCGGTGTGTCGCTCTCTTTCTTGCTTTCCTTTGCACTCGGCCTATGTCGAGCTTTGCACTGCGCTTTTAAGTGTGTTGCGTCAAAGTTCAAGGTGTACAAAATACGATAAATCTTGAAACATGCTTGTTAATAACTTTATGAGCGTGTGTGTGTGTGTGTGTGTGTGTGTGTGTGTGGGGGTCGCGCTTGCTGTCTCGCTCTAACATGCTTTAGCAATCGCTTCAAACTGAGCTCATCAGCAGCGTCAGCGGCAGCGCAGCGGCAGAGCAGCGGCAGCGCACAGGTTTAAAAATAGTTAATTATTAATTGACGAAATGACTAATTGTGCAATTGAGATTTTTTGTCGTATAAGTGAACTTGTGTGTGTGCGTGTTTGTGATTTTCTTTGATTGGTTTTTGTTTTTTTTTTTTTTCATTAATTTTCGTTGTTTGTTTTTACTTTTGCATGCGTCAAGGTAGCAAACAATTTAATTTTAACGGCGCTTGACGCGATGAATCAGTTAAAACTCAATGACGGCAATGCTCGTTTATAGCCAGCCTTACTCAGTTAGACATTCTGATAAGTATCTGGGCGAAATCTCACACACACACACACACACACACACACACACATTTACAACCACTCACATCCACATTCGGCATTTGCCAAAAAGGTTTGTCTCTGATTCAGCATGAGTTGTCGCCCGTTATTTTTTTCTCTACCCTGTAACAATTGAAATTGGGCTAAAATGGTTAAATTGGTTTTTTTTGCTAATCTTTCCGAATATCGGAAATTGTGCTTGGTTGCCTGTTTAATTAAGAATTGTTTTTCGATAGCGATAAATATCGGTTTCTAAGCAAGCCTTTCTATGCGCAACTCAAAGAGTATAAGAGCTAGAGGCATCAAATGTTGTGTGTACGATCGCGTTTCGATATCTTCTATATCCATAATATCGGTAAATATCGATTTTTTCTCAATATCTTCATAATATCGATAAATATCGAAATAACTTCAATAATTATCGATGTCTGTCCTTTCTAACGCACAACTAGTGAACTTGAGGTAGAGTCATCAAATTTATTATGTAGGCTCTCGTATTACTATACATGGATAAAGAATAATTAACTTTTTCGAATCCTGCCTACAGGGTACCTTCCCGCCGCACACTCCCGTGTAGGGCACTTTGACTTGTTCTTAATTTTAAAATTATCTGTCATAAAAAGTGTTGCTCACATCTTGCTATTTCCTTGTTCGGTTGTTTGTTTGTGCCGCGTTTTTCGCTATCATTTGACCTATTTAGCGGAACATTGTCAAAGGTTTTGATTGATTGATGCTACATTTTTGGCAGCTGAGTTGGCAGAGCTCTATAACAGAGTGCTTGCTGCTTATAATACATGGAATCTGGTCATTAAATGGTTAACATAACCATAAACTTCGAGTAGTACCCATTCATTAAGTCCATATTGCATTCATGCATTCAGGTTTCTGTTGACATTTCCCCACGGCAGACATATTTAGTTGGAGTCCTAAACTAAGGCTCCTTCGCTTGGCTAACGAGGCTTTGACTAGACAAAAAAAACTCTTGCTTTGTCTGTCGGTCCAAATTCGTGTTCAATTACGGCAACTTTTAGTTTGTTTTACAACCAACCAATAAACCTGCATATAATAGTCTTCCACGCATTTTCCACTCTTTGAGGTGGAATATTTCAAAATGGCGTCGTATTTATTTCAGCCCTGCGATAAAATGCCTGCGAACCTTTTAGGTAATTATCAAACTTTGCGCTTTTCAATAATTTTGCTGTGCGCGAAGCTGTCACGCGATACTGTCACGTTTTACAACACTACAAACGTCCGCTAACCTGACTTTAATGCATTTTATGCCTTGCCATTTGGTTTTTTTTATCGAATTGTGATCCGTTTGGAAATGTTCTTTTTTATTCTACAGTCTCGATTTGTGTGAGTTTAATTTGTTGCCGCTGTTTGTTTTAGTTTTAATGTTGTTTTAATGACAGCTGCGACGCGCACGACGTCGCTGTCGCTGTCGCTGCCGACGTCGCAGTCGCTGTTGTTTTGTTACGTTACGTGTTGCTGCACATTTCTATAAAGCTTTCGTTGTTCTTGTTACTTTTCTTTTATCGTGGTTTACATATATATTTGTTTTTTATTTTTATTTGTATCGCATAAATCAATCGTGGAGCTACGCATAAATCCGCAGCATGATTAACGGACTAGCGCGAGGAATTCCCAATTAGTCAATTAACTAGCGATTGATAAGACATCCGATTCTATAAACATACATATGCACATACACACACACACAGACACAGGCACACGCACACATGAGTCACTCTCTCAATGGAGACTTTAGCCAACTCTACAATTCAAGTGTCTGGCCGCAGCGACCGCGACTGCATATCGTATGCATAACCTCAAAGCTCAATGTCACGCATATTATATTTATACTCACATATACATTTCTTTTTAATAGTGTGCACGTGTGTGTTTGTCCGTCTATTGTCTATTGTCTTTGGGTTTTTCTCTCTCTCCCTCTTCCTCTCCTTTATATTGTACTGTATTTGGTTTTGTTGTTGGCTGACGATTAATATTTGCGCTAGTGTTGAAGCTAAATGAAATTAACTAACGAGTTGCGGCGGCGGCTGTCATAAAATAAGTTGCAAATAATAAAAATAATAACAGCAAACGGCAGATGAGGCGGAGTATCACTTGTTGTCTCTAATATCCCTATCTCTGTTGCGCTCCCAAGCTTTCCATGTGTGTGTGTTGTGTGCGTTGTGTTGCATCATAAAAT